TTCTGGGGGGGGGCGGGGGTGGGGGGGAGAGAGAGAGAGAGAGAGAGAGAGAGAGAGAGAGAGAGAGAGAGAGAGAGAGAGAGAGAGAGAGAGAGAGAGAGAGAGAGAGAGAGAGAGACTTCATCCTACTTTATGAGTCCTCAGTTGGTATGATGCTGGATATGGAAGGGATGGGCCTGGTTCAAATTCCAGTGGGATGTCTCGCCTCATATATAACCTTATATTGTGTTGATCGTGATAGGGGCATCAGAACTATACAGTGACCAAAACTTAATCCTACTTCATCAAACAGAAACTTATGAGATTGCTGGAAATACAAACTAATTTTTTCAAGTAGTATCGATCCAGATATTGACACTTCTTAATTAATTTGACTAAAATCGTAGTGGCAATACAGATGCAGATAGTAACTCTTTATCTTTTTTATTGCTGATTTCGTCCTTGTGCTGGTACAAAATGTTACCCAGGTTTACCCACTTAAACCGTAGTTGCTTTTTGAGGGTTTTTTTGACGGTTCTTTTGTGCAGGAGTTTGAAAAAACTGATCGTCTCCGCATCGGCTACTTCACTTTTGACGGGGTCAGCAAGTGTCAGCCTTCAAATGTCCGTGCTGTGATGGAGGCAAAGTCTGCGCTGGAAAAGGAGGGTCATGAGGTAGATCAGAGTTGTTTTTTATATTACTGAATTGTGGTATTATGTCGATCAGAGTTGTCCTATATTCATCATCATCATTGCCTTTCTCACCCTGGATCAGGATATAGGCCACGAACAAACACTTTCTACCTTTCCCTATCCCGGGCTAGTCGCTTGATGTCACTCCATGTCTTCCCACTTTTCTGTACATCCATTTCCGTTACTCTTCTCGAGGTTCCACATGGTCTTTCTCTTGATCTTTTACCCTGTGGGTTCCAATCTAACACTTTCCTTGTTTATGATGCTACTTGACTTCCTTAAAATGTGTCCAGTCCCTGTCTTCCTATATTACTTGATTGTTATTATGTAGATCAGAGTTGTCCTATGTTACTGAATTGAAGAATTATGCAGGAGCTGGTAGAACTGTTGGTGTCAGGCTCTGTGTAGCCGCCAAATTAGAAAAAACCTTTTTTTTGGTCTAAAATGACACAGACCGAAGGGCTAGAACCCAAATGGCCGCTGGATCGGAAAAGTAAAGTAAAAGTAAGTAAAAGTCTAAAATGATGCTTTTACGTATGTACCTGTTGGTTGTAAAGTGTATAGAGCATGCTGTAGAGCGTGAATATAATGTGCTATATTAATGAAATTATTATTATTTTTATTATTAGTGTTATTATTATTACAATTCGTAAACATCTGACACACAATTTTGAGCAATTATGGTACCCAAACTTTTCTTAAATCAATATTCACATATTCATGCACTTGCACAGAGTCAGACATTGACAATATTTGGGGGCTTTTTTTTCCACAGTAACTAACAGGAAATTCAGAATAAGACATTGAAATCTTCGTGTGGAGAGGATAGTCAAATAAAGCTAACAAGCTACTAGTGGTAACATACATCTTCCACATAAGGCTTTGGTAGAAAAATGGTTTCTGCTTTACAATAACATGACATTTTGACGTCAGTTCCTTGCCTTCTTTCGTTACTCTGTTCTCTGTTATTTTGTTTTTCAGCTTGTTCCGTTTGATTTCCCCACGTTAATGGGACGGGCCTATCCTTCAGCAGACTATTTCGTTCGGCTAATGGTCGCTGATAGAGGTCTAAGGCTGGCGAAAATATTGTAAGTGAATTATTTTCTGTAAACTTTGAATGTCTATTTTTTCCTTTTTCTGGAATGTTGTATCATGTTAATATTTTTGAAAGAATCTTCTTGCAACGAAAGATATTTCTTTTGGGATTTCCGAAAATTCTTAAAACATTTTTATTTTGCTTTGTTTGCCTGTGATTTTTCCTTTTGTCCTGGCTACAAATAGAAAATGTTGTGAAAATATCTACTTTTGTCCTGGCTATAGATAGAAATGTGAAAATATCTACTTTTGTCCTGGCTATAGATAGAAAATGTTCTGAAAATATCTACTTTTGTCCTGGCTATAGATAGAAATGTGAAAATATCTACTTTTGTCCTGGCTATAGATAGAAAATGTTCTGAAAATATCTACTTTTGTTGCAAATTATTTATAATTTTCTACAAGTACAAGGCTCGCTCTGTGTAATTTACATTTCCCTGATGTCATTTTAGTGGGAGGTTGGAAACCAGTGGGTGGTCTTACTTCTTTACCCTCTCTTTGTCTATCAGCCATACTTTTTCTTCGCAAAAAAAAAAAAAAAAAAAAAAAAATAAAAAAAATATGACCATGGTGTTGCTATACTTCTCTTTACTGTAACTAAAGTCAGAGGCAAAGCGTCTATTTGATAAAATAATCACTGCTTCCCTTCCTAATTTTGACAGATTGTCGCTGTCAAGTTCACCCATAAGCGTAAACCTCATATATAAAATGTAAAAAGACGTTCATAATCACCAATGAACAGTATGCCTAACGTTCAAAACGGTTTCATTGCCACAGAAATAGCCTGTTCCCCTCTTTCGGGCCACTTCATAAGCAGTCACAAGCTTTAAGTAAGCTTAAAAGTGAGGCTAGAAGATGGTTTCATAGGACTGCACCAAGTAGTTATCACCTTCTGTACCAGTTCTTGCCCACCTTGGTGATATCACCCCCTCGTGGGCAGTTTGGCTGTTTTGGTGGGTGGTGGGTGGTGGCTGGTGGGGATCACCCAGTTAGTGACAGGTGATATTTAACGCCCTGCTTGAAAATACACGTAGGTGAACGGTATGAAAATTTGAGCCTCTTAACCCTACCCCTACGCCCTGGGGTCATTTTGTACCCCCGGGGTTGTATTCTTCCCATCACATTTTGGAATACTTCTAGTACAAAGATCTTTTAGAAACTTTCAGTATTTCTCAAAACATCATTTTGACAGACTGCTATGCAAAGTATATGGATCGGATTAACGGTAAATTTTCTCTTTAGAAAGTGGTGGCACAGAGTTCCCCATGCCATATGGATATGATAGTAAAACACGACGTACGGATACGGTTAAGTGGTGGCACAGAGTTCCCCACGTCGTATGGATACGAAAGTAAAACACGACGTACGGATAGGGTTAAGTGGTGGCACAGAGTTCCCCACGTCGTATGGATACGAAAGTAAAACACGACGTACGGATAGGGTTAAGTGGTGGCACAGAGTTCCCCACGTCGTATGGATACGATAGTAAAACACGACGTACGGATAGGGTTAAGTGGTGGCACAGTCCCCACGTCGTATGGATACGATAGTAAAACACGACGTACGGATAGGGTTAAGTGGTGGCACAGAGTTCCCCACGTCGTATGGATACGAAAGTAAAACACGACGTACGGATAGGGTTAAGTGGTGGCACAGAGTTCCCCACGTCGTATGGATACGATAGTAAAACACGACGTACGGATAGGGTTAAAGATGTCAAAAGTGGAAGCTGGCTATTTAAAGGTTGACAAACACTGTTGTGTA